CAAAGTAGCACTTGTTGGCAAGGGTGATTCTACATTGGATTTCCATGCTGACATTATTATTGGTGTTAATTCTGGTTCTCAAATAAACGTACTTTCTCGAAATTATAACTGTCAACAGTGACGTGGGTGCCAAGGCGCGACCCACCACCAGACCCACTCGCTTTGCTTCTTTATCTATGATTTATGTTTTTCCACTGTTTGCACATCTCTACTAATTTTGTTTTAAATAAATACCGTATACTTTTCGATTTGACGCAAATAGGACACATTCGTAAATTGATGACTTCCAGACCTTTAGTCACATCATTGGATTCAAACCGATTTAAAGCTACCTGTCAATAATCAACTTTTATTAAAACCAACCAAAACTTTACTGAAGGTTTAAATTATTAAATTATACAATGGGTTAACACTTTGTGCAAGCGCTCCTTCCAGCATATTTCTGAGGTCATATGACCCAGACTGCCTCGATTATCTCATCATTACATAGCCCATTGTCAACTTCTATAAATTTAATTTTAAGAGGATATCACCCGGTTTCTTTTTAGCTTAAAACTTTCAACTTTTGAAACATGTTTTTACAGCTATTATTTATAAAATACCACATTTGCTGAGAACTTTGGCGTAAAGTAAATGAGTGCAATTTTTATTATTAAATTTATTTAATCTAACTGAATCTTGTATATTATAACTCGAGAAGGTTGAAGTCTTGTCATAAGTCGCATTCGTTGAATTATGGATAATCGTGTTCCAATTGTTTCGCGCGATCTTTTTCTGTTAACCCGATTTTTTTTTGTCTATTTGAGGTAAAGATACTCATTCTTAAGCTGGTGCGAAATTATATTTTTTAACGATCAGTTTACTCCGTTAGTTTAAGCTGAAGAAATCCATCAATTGATTTTTGGAGAAAAATCAGAAGTTTTTGGTATCTTTAATTGTAATTTGATTTTTGATCTCGAAAATGTCGTATTTTCAACGAATTCGTTCAAATTATTTTTTGATGAGCCACTTCCAACGCGAATAAAACTGTCAAATTAAAAGCAAGTACTATGAAACTTAAACCTTATAAAAATGTACCGATTTACAGTCAACCAGTGAGGCCCTACCCAATTCTGATGGAGCTGATGGTATTGCTCAACGTCATTTTACACAGCCGTATTAGTTTCGCGGGGATACCAAATTCAGACATCGCGGCATAAAGACAACTTCTTTTCGTGCTGCCGAACGCAGCTTTGGAATCGACAAATGGTTGGAGTGTGCTTGGTCTATGGTGGATTTTCGAAGTCTAAAGCCACACTGATAAGGCCCAAGCAGTGTGTTCACGTTGGGCTTCAGTCTTTCACACAAGATACTCGATAAGGCCTCGTAACGTATGCTTAGAAGGCTGATTCCGCGGTAGTTGGCGCATATGGCGGGAGGGCAGGTGTGAGAGCCGAGTTGCGAATAAATTGGCCGTCTGTTGTGATTGCAGCTTTTCGGGAACTTTTGTACCCTATTCTTATTAGTTTAAACGAGCAATTCTTATACATATGCATATGTATATCCATAAGTTTCTCGGAAACGGCTGGAATCGGTTTTAACACCCAACCAACCACCGCCACCCCTCCCCCCGTGGATTCGCCACTAGAAACAAGGCCCTCGGAGTGTACATACGTCTAAAACAAGGGAAGCGTGCCTTCCGTCTATCACGACATGATCGATTTGGTTTCTTGTTTTTCGATCTGGAGACATCCATGCAGCTTATTGGATCTTTTTATGCTGGAACCCAGTATTACATATTCGGCCGCTGTGGTGTAGTGGTAGGCAGTGCGCACTTCCACTCCGCTGCGCGCGGGTTCAAGCCCTGGTCAAAGGAATATCGCAAAAAATTTCGTCCCTCGGCAGGCAATGGCCAGCCTCCGAGTGTATTTCTGCCTTGAAAAAAGCTTCTCATTAAAATACAATCGCCGTTCGGAGTCGACGTAGAACTATAGGTCCCTCGGCTTTGTGTGACAACATCAAGGCGCACGCCACAAATCGTAGGAAAAGCTCGGCCAAACACTAACATATGTGTAAGCGCCAATCTATTATTATTAGTACTACATTTTACCATGTTTCGGACCCCGGCGAAGTCGATCAGCCTGAGTCCGTTATCGAACGTTTCGTCGTAATTTTCAACGAATTCAAGAAAACGTATAAAAAAATTAAGTACTGTTTCTTTTTAAATGATACAATCAAACATATTTTCTCTATGATTTTTAAAAGATATTGGGGCATATTCATAGTCGAAATAAAATCGACTTCAAAGTTAGTTACAGCTTTTTTGACAATCCATTGAAAATTATGTTGAAAAGATGATACTAACTTTAGAGTCGACTTTACGTTGACTATAAATATGCCCCATTCTTATTAATACGTTCAGTATGATTTTTCACATAAAATCAAAAAGGAATCTCTATGGAATTTTCTTAATTTTTTTTGTCTGTTTTACACCTTAGCCTAGAAATTTTTACTTAGAGACAATCTGCTTGATTAACTGAATACCAGCTTCATAAAACGGCAGACCTATTATATTTTTCGTATTTAGGAATATCAGGAGAAAGTTTTTTTCTTAAACCGACGGAAAAGCAATCAATAATAGAGGTATCACTAACTCAAAAGCCTTGCCGGAAATAGTATTTCTCTACGTAAGCTGATAGGCCATACTTTAGGTGAAATCAATACCACAAAAAGTTCATGCAGATGCATTATTTCATGCTATTGTATGTATTTATGTACATAATTGTACATTAGGGTGGTCCAAAAACGCATATGAAAAAAAAGTAAAGTACAAATTTTAATGCCCTCACCACCTCGAATTACTCTATATCGAACAAATTATACCCCTGTTTTCTTTCGATATCAAAAAGTATTTCTAGGCCGCTCAATGTACTAAAATGTGTCCATTTTTTTATGTATATGAAGGGAAAACGATGTTTGGTAGAAATGGTACAGAATTCTTGAAAATCAAGATTTTTCGATCGGAAAACTTTGTTTCTCTTCAGGAGACTTCCAGCATTAATACCCCATTGTTTATTTTGGCATTTTCTAATACTAACTATATTTTATGGGTCCCCCATTGCATTTTTTTTGGCCCTTTGATGGTTTAATAAACAATCGGGTATTATTACTGAAAGTCTCCTGAAGAAAAGCGTGGTTCCGATAGAAAAATATTGATTTTACAGAATTGTATACCATTTCTACGAAATTTTGTTTTTTCCCCATATAAAATACATGGAAAACTTTGAGCGCTTTGAGCAACCTCTAAATATTTTTTTTATATAGAGCATCCTAGTGGTTGAGAGCAATAAAATTCCGACTTTACTTAAGTATTTTGGACCACTCTAATTTACATACTTGCATACGGTGCAATGTGTGCGAGCATATGTCATTTCTGCATATAAATATATGCGACGCAAATAGAGAACAGAAAATAGAAGTAAAGAAAATTTTCCAAAATGTAAATAGAAAATCATGAAAAAATAACTCAAAACACAGCCGCTAAATATAAACATCAACTCATGTAAAGGAGAGCATTTGCATTTTCGGAGAGACAGAGAGAAGCCAAAAGAACGCACGGCTGACGTGGACCACCACATCTAAGCCATATGTATGCGCTTTCAACACTTGGCGAACGATGATGCGATTGCCTTTGCTCCACAACCTGGGACCATTCCCGATCCGTTTAGAATTTGCATTTGAATTTGATTTAAATTCGAAATTTTATTTTCTTGTATGGTGAGCTACACAGTTTGTAGCTATTCTTCATTTACACATGCATAGTATATACATATATATATATATGTATATTAGACCATACCACCAAAAAAAAGTTTCTGTTTTTCCACCGGGATTATAAAATTTATTATTTTTAAAGACTTCCTCCAAAATATTTCGGAAAAATATTAAGATTTACGTGAGCTTGACTCATTGGAAAATACCTCAAAAAATAAAAGTTCTTATGAATAAAAATAGTTTCTTAAAGGATTTTTAGGAAAAAATCCCCTCAGATGACAAAACAGTTTAAGCTTTAAAAAATTGCATAAAAATATTCAAAAAAAAATTCAACGGAATCATAATAATGAGGTATTTGATGCTGTTTTAAATTTTTTTTTTAAGATTTGTTTAAGAAAAATTTTAATAACTGGACCAAAACTATACCGATATAGACTTCTGACGTATCAGTGGAATTGTATTTTCTCACCCTTTTTATTTCTTTGCAAAAAACTCATTCACGTCCCAATTTTTTCTTTATCAAATACCAACACATCTTAATTCAACATGGAATGAGGCTCGTTTTTCTTACCTTCCTCTTTCATACTTTGATTGAGGCTATTTGCAAAGAAATTGAAAGGGTGAAAAAATTCATTTTCAATGATGCCTCATAAGTCTAAGTGCGTAAGGTTTAGGGTGTGTTATTAAAGTCTTTTTTTAAACCAGTCTTTGGATGAAGAAAGACCAAAATAGCATCGAAAATCTCATTATTGCGATTCCGTTGAAAATTTTTTTTTTTTTATGCAAATTTTTAAAAATATTTGGAGATATTTTCGACTCGGTTCAGCTCACGTAAATCTTAATATTTTTCCGAAATATTTCGGTGAAAGTCTTAAAATGTAATAGATTTTATAATTCTGGTGGAAAAACAGTGCCGGTTTTTTTTTTTGTATGGGGAGTAATGCAGTCTAATGTATATATACATATATGTACGTACTTATGTATGTTTGTATATACCGACGAATTTATGTATGTAAATATTGTTAAAAATAAAAATGTGTAGGTATACCAGTAGGCAGCGAGTGGCGAAATGCAACAGAAACAATAAAAAAAAGACAGCCACCATGGAAGGAAGTGGCTACATAGCGGTTTACGCGCTAACAGAACGTCGACATAGGCGGCAATGGAGGTGGCGGACGACGTAAATGCCTAAGCCGAAAATTGCTTCGGCTTGTTCCAATACATACGGGCTGCCGTTGATCTGCACCAGAACGTTTCGGGCAGATCAGTTGGCGAGAGTGCGTCGGCCCGAACGGAACAACGAAAATTCGAATTTTTCAGAACTGAAACGGGAAAATCGTGGGTGAAAGTGAAAATAGACGCTATAAATACATGTATATATAGCGCAAATCCCAGATATACATACACAAACTTTATTAAAAGGCGTGATAGCGCATATGTGGAATAGACAGTGAACACGCATAGCAACTAACGCCCAGAGAAAGTGCGAAAAACGCTCAACTGATCGCTAAGAAAAGTTTAGAAAGTGACTAAAATCAATCGCAATGGCTGATATACCGGAAGCTATCAAGAAGTGCGCGGCCATGTTAAAAGGCACGAAAAGCGATACCGAAAAGTTTGCTGCCCTCTTCATGGTAACGAAGCTAGTAAAGGGCAAGGATTGTACTGCAGCCGCTAAGAAGCTGCTCTTCGAAGCAATCGGTTTCAATTTTCTCAAAAAGCTGCTCAATGGCAAAAATCTGCCCGACGATTGCCCACCTCTGGTCTATAAGAGTGTAGCGCTTTCCATACTCACCTGCTTCTGCCAAGAAGAAGAACTGGCCACACACAAGGATATGATCGAAGCTATACCCACATTGCTGGAGATTGTTGAAACCGCCGATGACGATGACTACGAAGACAATTTGATTGTTGTGAGCGAGTCGTACAGTTGCCTCAAAAGCATTGCCACCTATGAGCCCGGTCAGCAGGCGCTACTCACCATAGGCGCAATACCCAAAATGTCACAAATCTACTCAGCGCAAAGTTTCCAAACTGACGAGGCACTGCATTTGATTGTGTTGTTGGTGAACAAGTTTGGCACCGCCTCCTGGACCGACGATCCAAAGCCCTTCCATGCACTCGTTCAGCGCATAGCCCTTGACATGGAGACCGAAAACAGCGATCGCAAATACGAACTCTGTAGTATACTGTCGTCCATACTCATCACGTGTCGTCGTGACGTCATTGTGAACACACTCGAGGGTGAAATCTGGCCCGAGAGTATTTTCAAGGCCGTCGGTGACATATTGAAGGCCAAAATCGGCCCTAAACAACGAGAGCCAGCCTTGCATTTGATTGCGACCACATTGCAAGTTCTCGGTATACAATGGGCTTTCATGGATGACCAAAAGCAACTCTTCCTATCCATTCTCCAACTAGCTGCTATTGAAGTTCGTATGCAGATGGACGAAAAAAAGCTGGAGACTACGTTTAAGCGGGCCGATCTCATCACTTGCTGCTTCGTAATCCTCGAACTGTGCATTGAGCACATGGCCAACGATCAAATTGACTTGGAGCCCAAGGAAAAGCAAACTACTTACTCAGCACTAAAGGGCGCTTTCAACCAGGTATTGGCCGTGCTGACACGCGTCTCCCAAGACAAGATCAAGGATAATGGCAGTCCGCGCGACAAGGCCTTCATCTGCGCTATTGTGCGCATTCTCTCCGCTTGGCTGGCACAAGAAACGACCGCTATGCGCCCAGCAATCTACAAGATTCTCCCATTCATGTTCAAGGTATGCAACGAGTCATTCCATGACTTGAAGGCTTGGCGCAATGGAACACGCGAAGGCGAGCCACCCGTTGATGTGCTGCGCGTCATGTTACCGGCGCTTTGTCACTTGGCTGTTGAGGATGACGCACGTAAAGTTCTCTTTTCCACTAAGCAAGATGAAGTTCTCTTGGAGCAAATCGAGTTCTACTTTACCATTGCACACTACAAGCGTCCACCAATACCACGCGCCGAGCGTCTGAAGCGCATGAATGAGCCAGACCCCGTGCCTACACCCAAACAGTTGGAAGAGATGAAGGACGCACGCGCAGCTATCGTTTCACTTTGCAACATTTTAATGAACTTGACTGTGCTGGAGCCAAAACTGGCCGAAGACTCACCACTCTTTGCCAACGTACTTAAGTTTGTTGTAGAGAATCTTCCTGAACTGAAGGACACACCCGACAATCTGGTCATGCACGGACACCTTGCCGTGCTCGGCTTGCTGCTACTCAAACAGCAGGCCAAACGCGTTAAGCAGAATGATTTCTCCTTCTGCCGTTACATTCAGGCCACAATTCGTTTTCTCTGGGACGCCTACAACATCGATGAGTCGAATGATCCTACCGCTTTGGTGGTGTCCATCGCTTACAAAGAACACTGGATGGAGATAACGGAATTGTGGTTCCTCGGCATGCAGACCATAAGCGGCGTGCTCGCCTTAGTACCTTGGCTGTCGGAGTTCGCCATCGAGTCAGGCTGGGCTGAGGGCATCGTGCAAACCTTGAAGAAGGTCAAAATTGGCACTCTGCCACCCAATGTGAAGTCCGCCTACGAGGACTTACTTTCGCAATTGGTCGAAGTGAACCCGTCAGTGGTGGCGGTGTTGAAGAAGGCCGATGCTCTGCGTGTCTGCCGCAATCACCGAATGATGGACTTGGGCAAGAAACTTTTCGGTGATTAGATAAAATCAATGACAGTTGACGCATGGCGCAGCATCCAGACGTTCACTTCACTTTAATTAAATGAACTGAAGGAAGTAGGGTTGAGAATTTGTAACAGACAAATATTTTAGTATAAGTAAAATGAGGAACCATTGTAAGATTAAGAAACTTTTTTGAAAAGAAAAAAAGAATGCTTTTTTTGTATTTTTGGACTTTATTTCGCATAAACTGTATTTGTATTTACTGGTTTTTATACATAATTTAAGCGAAAATACGACTTTGTAAGGAGGAGAAACAACGAAAGCAAAAGAATAAAAATAAGAAATAAATAAAAATAAAAAAACCATTAATAAATTAATTGTCAGGCAGCTGCTTTCTTTATTTTATCTCACTTATTTTTGCTTTTGGACGTGGCAACTTTGGGATATATGTACGTAGGTATTCGTATGTATATATGTATATACATAGTACAAGTACATGTTGTTTATCGATACATTCCACTCTGGACATCTCGCTGGTACATGTTGTTTTGCATACATATAGGCATACATACATACATGCATACATGCATACTATGCCTGTACATCTTCTTTGGCTTACACCCACTCACAATTTTCCTCGTTTCGTCGACTGTGCAATATTGCTACAAAAGCGTCATTTGTGACACAAATGTACAGCTGCTTGCATTTAACTGATTACATTCATACAAGTGTAGAAATGTTTATGAATTAGTAAGAGGAATAATTTAGTATTATGACAGATTTTGTTTTTAGTTCATTTGTTTACATTTTGTTTGTGAGTGAGCGTTATTTTTTCGCCAACGGAAATATGTACGTAAGTCATAAAATGTTTGGCGGATTAAACGGATTTAGATAAAGGCAGATGTATCTACTAAAGAATATTTGAGACATTAAAAACTGCGAAATAAGCAATTTATAAATAATGCTGTATGGACTGTCTAAACATTTAGTAAAGGTCAAAAACCACCCTGAACAAATACATGGTTAAGTATGTCTAAACTTTACCAATGAAATTTTTAAGATTTTTTTTTTTTTTGTTGGTTCTTTCGACAGGCCTTATCCACATGCTTAAAAGTGCCGTATACCAATCGGTAAGATACAGATATACAAATGCAACAGTTTATCTCAAAGCGATCGCAAATCGTGAGTGGCCAAAAGAGGAGTACTCGAATACTCCCAGAGCCGCCTCATCGGATGTTGTCAATGTCCGTGCTTCTGCGCCATACACCAACACGGGCATGATGAGTGACTTATAGAGTGTGGCTTTCGTAAGTCGAGAGAGGAATTTACTCCTTAATTGCCTACTCAGTCCAAAGTAGCACTTATTGGCAAGAGGAATTCTGCGTTGGATTTCCAAGCTGACATTATTATCGGTGTTTCTCGAAATTATAACTGTCAGCAGTGACGTGGGTGCCAAGGCGCGAATGCACTGACTTTTTATTTGATGACAGAAAATACTTTGTCTTGTCCTCGTTGACCACCAGACCCAATCAATTTGCTTCCCAATCTAACTTGGAAAGGGCTAAACAAACTTTGCGGCCCTTTTTACCGACGTTCTTGGACAAAACTATTTCTGAGGGTTCAGTTCTGCAGCTCTTATTACCTTCTCCAAAATCAGAATGAAGAAATCAGAAAAGAAGAAATCCAGACATCGCGGCGTACCGGCAACTTCTTTTAGTGCTATCGAAAGTTGCTTTAAAATCGACAAATAAGTTGTGTGTCGATCCTATTCTCGCGGATCTTTTCCAAGATTTGGCGTATTGTGAATACCTGGTCTATGGTGGATTTGCCAGGTCTAAAGCCACACTGATAAGGTCCAATCAGTTCATTGACGGTGGGCATCAGGCTTCCACACAATACACTCGATAAGACCTTGTAACCGATGCTTACAAGGCTGGTGCCGCGGTAGTTGGCGCAAAAGGCGAGGCCGCCTTTCTTGTGGATTGGGCAGAGCTCACTTAAATTCCAGTCGCCGGGGATGTGTTGATCTGCCCAAATTCTGCACAAGAGTTGATGCATGCACCTTACCATTGAATAGATCGGCTGGCACGCCGTCAGCTCCAGCTGATTTGTTGTTTTTCAGCCACGTAATCGCTATTCGTACCTTCGTCAGGCTGTGGGACATCGACTCCATCGTCATCGACAAGGGCTCGTGTTAGTCTTCACCAATACTTTCAGTGCTGCTGCCATTCAATAGAGTGGAAAAGGGTCCCCTTCATAATTTAAGTACGTTCTAGACATCAGTCTCTAG